GGGTGACTAGCGCAGGGAGGTCTCCTGCAGTGCCACCACGTGGGATGATACGCAGGAGGAGCAGCGGAAGCACAAGGGTCACCTCTGGCGGGGGGGGGCTCTGCTCGTCCCCGCCCTCTTTGAAAAACCAGGTCCAAAGGCTGGCCCAGAGGCCCACCAGGAGGATTTGTCACGTCTGTTGGCCCCGGGATAAAAAGAGCCCGGGTGCCTTTTTGTCTGCAGCGTCCAGGTGGAGAAGTTGACTCTTCTGGAAAATCCAAGAAGAGATGCAACCCCCCCCCCCTTTCCAGGCTTGAAATCCCTTGGTCAAGTACAAGGGGTGGAGAAACTGACTTTTCTGGAAAATCCAAGAAGAGACGCAACTCCCCCCCCCTTTTCCAGGCATGAAATCCCTTGGTCAAGTACAAGGGAGCTGCAGCCCAGACCGGAAGGGTCTGGTCAAGGCCACATCTTCACCTTCCAGGCTCCACAGGACTCTTTGGCCACTTCGGTGGCAGCTGCAGATGAATGTGGGTGGCCTTCTTGGCACTGACTTTTCTGGAAAATCCAAGAAGAGACGCAACTCCCCCCCCCTTTTCCAGGCATGAAATCCCTTGGTCAAGTACAAGGGAGCTGCAGCCCAGACCGGAAGGGTCTGGTCAAGGCCACATCTTCACCTTCCAGGCTCCACAGGACTCTTTGGCCACTTCGGTGGCAGCTGCAGATGAATGTGGGTGGCCTTCTTGGCAATTTCCAGACAAAACCAACCCAAGGAGGGACTGCTGTGTCAGAGCGAAACCAGCCCAAAATCTGGGCTGAGGAAGGCAGTGGAATCTGGACATTTCAACACAGACTGAACCAAGGCATGATCTGGCCCAAGGCCCCTCGCGTGCAACATCCTGTTCCCATAGTGGCCAAACAGGTAGCCTCGGGGGGGGGGGGNNNNCGCTCCCCATGGCCACCTCCCTCTCAGGCTCTCCAGAAGTGGCTGACAGGGAGAGGCATCCTGGCTCATCCAGCCACGGACAACTCTAATCTCCATGAATTGCTCTAATCCTCACTTACATCTGCCAGGTTTGCCACCACCATTCCTGCATCATGTGGCAGTGGGTTCCATAGTTTAACCGCCTGCTGACATGGGGCCCTTTTCTCCTACCTCTGAGGGCTGTTGTGAATATAACCTGAAGAGGGGAGGAGTCATGCTCCTCTCGCCTTCGGCTCACAGAAGAACAGGCAGGATGATACGACAAAGCCGTGCCAGGGAGTCTGTTTCCAATCTCTGGCCCTTGGCCTGCTCGTGGTTTCCTGGGGGGACCGGACGGGCTCCTTCTCTGCTCTTCTTGCCTCCAGGCTGCTGGACCTGCCACCTCTGGCCGTCTCCACGGCTGCCCAAAGGCAGTTTGACCTGCAGGGCTACAGATTTGAAGCAAAGCCGGAGCAGCTGAGGCCACCTCGTGTGGTCCGAGTGGGGCTCGTCCAGAATCAAATCCCTCTTCCCACAGACACGCCGGTCGCTGAACAGGTAGGGAGCCCACAGGGGCAGCCACAGGAAGGATCCATGGGCCCCAAACCTCTGTTAGTTGACGTGGGACCCTGCATCTTGCGCTGAAGAGAATGGGCACTTGCCACGGAAATGTGGGCCACGTGGGGGGGGGAGGCTGCCAGCAATGTGGGTGGGAGGTGGTTTCATAACCTGGTGAGGTTTGACAGTTTTGGATTGGAGGTCACCGGTTCCGCTCATGCTTGGCTTTTTAAAAGGCCCAAGGGGATCATCCCTTTGTCCCCGTATGCTTTGGGGCCCGTGAGGGGCCATGTTTTGCTCCAGCCTCAGAGAGCCACCCCAGACCCCGCCCCACTTTGTGTGGAGCCTGCTGGTCCCTGCAGAAGAAGGCTGGGGCTCCCTCCCCCCTCTTTCACTCCCATTATTCTGCTACAGTGGGTAGAAGTCAGGGTGGCTTCTTGGAACAGCCCCACAAAGGGGGTCTGGACAGCTGAGTTCCTTCTCCCTAGGTGGCTGCCCTCCATCAGCGCATCGAAGAGATGGTGGATGTGGCTGCCCTGTGTGGCGTCAACATCGTCTGCTTCCAGGAGGTCTGGAGTAAGTCTTAAAGAGCCCACTTGCCTTTAAAGCTCTGTTAGGGTTACTCTAAGTCAGTTTTGACATGAGGGCACAGAACACACACACACACACACAGCTACTCTAAGTCAGTTTTGACCTGAGGGGACAGGGCACAGAACACACACACATACACAGAGAGGAAAAATTGGCCAAGGCTCACCTGCGCTCCTCCGAGGCCAAGGGCCGAAGTGGCCGTCTGGAATCCTCTGGGAGCCCCTTCTGCCCAGGAAGGTGAAGAACCTCTGGAATACCATGTCCTTTGGGACTCATTTATGCAGAGGAAGCACCTGGTCTTCAGGGTTCCTGATTCAAGGCGTCTTGAATTCGTTTATCTACTATTATGGCATTTTTATACCTCACTTTCCCACTGGAAATAGTGTTAAAGGCAGCAGACAAAGATAATTAAAGCTGCAAATTGGAACAGTTTGAACAACAAAACCATCACATCCTACTAAGGCAAGCAGTTAAAAATCATCAAGGCAGGCAGGGCGATTTTGATTCAAGGTCTGGAATGTCTCGACTTCCTGCTGTTTTCACCTGGAGTCCAGCCTGGTTGCTGCTCCGAACCTTTTTGGGAAATGGGAGCCTGTGGTTAGGATGTTTGGAAATAATGGTGATGGCTGCCGGGCACCCGGACCGTGTCCCTGAGCGACTTGGGGGGAAGATCCCCTTTGAGAAGGGGGGGGTCCCTTTCCTTTGGAAAGATCACTGAGGCTCGGCGGTGGAAGAGCTGTTCCTGTCTGGCCACTCCTGGCCACCCTCCCCATTGGCCCCAAAGAGGTTCTTTAGTGAGAACAGGAGCCCCCTCCCACCCCCACCCCCAGCACGCAAAGGTGTTGTGTTCCCTCCTCACGGTCACGCCTGTTTTGCCTCCCACCTCAGCCATGCCTTTCGCTTTCTGCACACGGGAGAGACTTCCTTGGACCGAGTTTGCTGAATCGGCAGAAGACGGACCGACAACCAGATTTTGCCAGAAGGTAGGGAGACCAGTTTCTGCTCTTCTCTCTTCCGCTCTCCCCTGGGAGCTGCATATCAACCGTGTGCAATGGAATATATTTGATATATATAATTGCTTTGTTCCCCCCCCCCCAATTCCTTTTGGCTGCCCACAAACCCGGGTGGGGCGGGGGTGGGGGTGGCAGCTGCCTGGCCTAAAGCCGAGTCCTGCAAGAAAGCCACCTGGGGCTCCCTTCTCTTAACACCCGGCTCTGTCTGCCCTCACCTGGAGGCCAGAGGAAGGTGGTGGTTGGGGAGATGCTTCCTGGTTCCCTCTTGGGGCCAATTCTGATCTTGCAAAGAGCCAAGCTGAGCAGGGCCCGCAAAAGTCTCCTCTCCTCTTGCCATTTAGGATGGCTGAGCCGTGTAAAGCTTGGGAAATGGCTTGCTTTTGAAATGTGACTTAGTCCCACCCTGATTGCACAAACACACACACACACACACACACACACACACACCAGTGAACTCAACACAGGACACTCCATTACTTGCAACGCGTTAGCTCCACCGCTGGTTCTGGGGATGCTTGTATCTGTGCAGGTCTTCTTGCACCACTTTAAAGGGAAACGGGTTATATTTGACCAAAGCTTTTCTGGGGTGTAGCCCCACCACCCCCACCTCTGCTGCAAGAGTTCACAGACGCTTCCACCTGCTACAATTTGTTTGCCCTGAATGTGTCACAGAGCTCCCTGGTGGTTCCTCCTAAGGCCCAGACTGAGGACCCCCCCCCAATCATCATTTAGCATCCAAACATCACAGGGTGGAGGCCCTACATGTGCCCCCCCCGGAGAAGAAGGCCGAGATCCAGTTTCTTTGCTTTTGTGACACTGACTCCCCTTTTGGCCAAGGGACACTCACTTTTTGTCCCTAGTGCACACACATATACCCCCCCCTTTTTTATGGCCCTGCAGGGACGAGGGTCTTTCTCTTGGCGTCTGCAGCTGCCCTGCACTCTCCGCCAGGGCGTAGGTCAAGCGTGAGGTGGCTGAGAATGGGAGATTAATGGCATCCTGCGGGATGTTGTGGTAAACATTCAGGCATATGGGCAAAGTGAAATGAGATGAGGGGAAGGAAGAGAACCTGTAATTGGATCAGAGCAGACATGACTGATCGGTCCTGAAGTGGAGCAGAGAAAGGCTTTCTCCCGGGACCCAAGGCAATGTCCTCTTGGCCTTCTTGTTTTAAAAGAAACAGGATGCAAAGATGAGGAATAATGCAATTTGCTCCTTGCACCTTCCCTGGGTCAGGCAGGGCCGACGTCTCCAGTGACTTAAGTAGATCTTTGGGAGGAAGGAGGGTTGGAGGGCCCGGAGGCTCTGTCTGGGCCCAGGAAAGCCTGGGGGTGCAGATCTGAATGCCTGCCAGGACCTCTTCGTGGCTTGCACGGAACGCTGGCCCCGGCTGCCAGAGACCCTGAGAAACAGCCGGGGTTTTGGAGCCTGGAGGTGGGAAGTGTGTCCGCCACAGAGACAGGCGGGCAAACACCGGATGCGCCACACAGGCGTGCAAACTCTCCTATAACACACACTCTCTCTCTCTCTGTGGGAGGGGGTTCCTTTCCATCCCACGGATACAGCTCAGAGTCTCAGAGCCCCAACGCTTCCCCAGCTGGGCAGTTTCGCCTCTCCACCGAATTCCCTACCTCAGATTATCGGGCAGCCCCCCCACTCCATCCGGGACACTCCTGCTCTGTTCACCCGTGCCTTGCTTCATGGCCGTAGAGCCAAGGGATTCAGCAGTCACCCTTTTATCACCTTGGGCTTTTCAGTAAAAATCAAAGTTTGGGTCCTTCCCCTCCTTGTTCCTGATGAATGGAGGCTGTTTAACCCTTGACAGGAGGAGGGAGGGAGCCCTTCAGTGAGCGAACATTTCAGATTTGTTGGCAAATATGGGGTTCCACTGAACTGAAGGGTTACTTGTCTTATCTAATAATGGCTGAAATCCTTTTCTCTCTCTTTTTTTTTTCTTTTTTGCACTGACAGAACACAGAAAATTTTGTATATCTTCCAGACAGCTTTCTCTCTTTTTTTCTTTTTTGCACTAACAGAAAACAGAAAATTTTGTATATCTTCCAGACAGCTAGTTTCAGGGTAGTTTTGAACCCGAATGTAACTTATCCAGGCTTTTCTGGGGGAGGTTGCAGAAGAAAACCGGAGTCTTGTCATGAAGCTGTCCCTGTAGAGAGAACAGTTGTGGAGAAACTCCTGCCTCTGAAGCCAAGTGGGTACAGAGAGCAGGGCAGCCAGGCCTCCTTTTTGGTGGCCCCCGGCTTTGGGAATTCCCCCCCCCCGAACTGCCCACCACCCCTGCAATGTTGGGCAGGGCAGGGGCAAGCAGGGGAGTGACAGGGAGGAGCCGGGAGGGGTGTTCTTCTGGACTTGGCAGCCACTTCCCTCTGAGCTGTACAAGGCAGTTCTGCTTCAATTTGATTTTGTCAGCGTTTTGTTTTTCCTTGAGGAAAGGATGGCTCTTCTTACTTTGCAAACTGCCTCATAATCCACCAGGGGAGCAGCTAAATGAATTCCTGTATAGGAGGAACCCGTAAATAAAGTGTGGTGCGGATGGTTTCTCTGTCTGCAGCTGGCCAGGAAGCACAACATGGTTGTCGTGTCTCCAATCCTGGAAAGAGACGCTGCCCACGGCGAAACCCTGTGGAACACGGCGGTGGTGATTTCCAACTCCGGCAAGGTGCTTGGAAAAAGCAGGAAGAACCACATCCCGCGGATTGGGGACTTCAACGAGGTAGGGCGAACCTTCACGGGCAGGAGACTGTGGGAAGCCCCCTGACCATGATGTGCTTCGTCCACAGGCCACATCCACCCTCCCGAACTCTTTGCAGGTGGGGTGGGACTGCTGAACCCCCACCCCAAAATCCCCAGCTGTAGAACTATAATTCAGCAGCAAAGTTAGAGAACCCTTCCAAATTAAACAGGAGGTGCTCCGCTTGTGTGTATGTAAAAAAGGGAGCATCTGCTTGATTTAAAGAAGTCCCCCTGCTTGGCCAGCAAATGCAGCAGCGTTGGCCGGAGACCTGCCCGTTTGCCTGTTCCTACCCCGCCCCCCCCAAATGCTCCCGATCCTTCCTTGCTCATCTCCCCTTCCTGTGAGCAGCTGGCCTTTTGATCCCACTCCCACCTCCTGGCTATTGCCAAGCATGGGCCTTTGACAGTGGAGGCCCAGCTGTCTCCCTGGGTGTGGATGATGGGCTTAGCACCAAAGGGGAGGGAAGCATGGCGTGTTCTCGGGGGGCTTTCTTGAGGGGTGCCCTTGAACTCCTCTGGGCTTTCTACAGTCGACTTACTACATGGAAGGGAACAGAGGCCACCCGGTGTTCCAGACTCAGTTTGGGAAGATCGCTGTAAATATCTGTTACGGGCGTCATCATCCTCTCAACTGGCTCATGTACAGCCTGAATGGAGCAGAAATCATCTTTAATCCCTCTGCCACGATTGGGAAACTCAGGTAACGTCTGAGCTGTGCCTTCCTGCTGCACAAAGTGATCGAAAAGAGTCAGCAAACCTCTGCTGGGATCTGAGGCATAAAACACTGTCGGCTGCTTTTGAAGAGAAGGGTGTTTCGCGTGTTCCCCCTGCATGAGAAGAGCTTCCATTTTGCCTCACGCCTTTGAGCTTGTTTCATGGAATGCTTCAGAAATCCCCTCCCTTTGACGTCATCCCAGATGATAGATTGTGCGCTGGTTTTGTGTTTGAAAGGAAGGAAAACAAATTGTGTAACCCAGATATATTGCTTCCCCCTTTCTCAGGGGTCTTGGGGCATTCTGGCAGGGTGGCCCCATCCCCCCCCCCGTGGTGAGGCTTGGGGGGGGCTGGCTGGCTCCAGGACGCTCTTGTCCTACCTTCTTTTCATTGGTTGGTTTCGTTTTGATCAAGCGATCATGTTTGCCTCCTTGGGCTGATTTGTGGATTTAGCATTTGCATCCATTTGACTTTGGATCATTTTGACTTTCTTATCCTGAACTACCCTGGAGTCTGGGAGGGGAAATGCCATGTTTTGGGCCAGCCATTTGCAGTAACTCCACAAAGTCACTTCTCCAAGCTCCGAGCTGCCTCGAAGGCCCCTCTAGGGCACCCGGGAGGGCTGAAGGGAACGGAGCGACAGAGGCGCTGGGAGGCTCTTCCAGATGTAGCGGCAGAAGCCAAGCGTTACGGCCACCTACTTTTTCTAGACCCTCTTTGTCATTGCAGTGAGTCCATGTGGCCCATTGAAGCGAGAAACGCCGCCATCGCCAACCACTGCTTCACCTGCGCCATCAACCGCGTGGGAACGGTACGGAGGGCTTCCCGCTCTTTGCGGGCTTTGTGGTTCATCGCGTGGGTGCCAGAGTTGGCTACAAACACGGGGCCTCCTTCCTGCAACCTCCAGATGTGCCACCAGGAAGAGGGACACGAGGCAGCTGCACTTAAGCCAGCATTCAGAGCTGCTTCCAGGGGGACCGGTCATCTGCTCTTCTCTGTCAGACGAAAATGTCCTCCTTTCCCCTTGAGCTGTAGGCATTCTGGCCAACTAAGCCGGCTCCTAGGGCTTTGCTTGTGAGGTGGTGTGTGCTTGTTGGGGGGGGCTTCCAGATGAGCCTCTGGGGGGTGTGGCTGCCAGGCCTCCCTCGGGCAGTTTCTAAGGATCTGGACCATGCCGTGAACCCACCAGGACACCTCCCACGTTCTCCTGTTGCCTCGGCTCTTTCCCCAACCACCGAGCCACCGTGGCCTTCAGGAAGGAAAGAGCAGAGCAGCAGCTCCCTCTCTTTGCAGTGGTGGGCCGGGGAACGCCGAAGGAAAACAGAGGAAACCCCCACACACATACACACACACTTCACAGGAAGGCAAGCATGTGCTGGGAATGGCGGTTGGCCTTTCTCATCTGCTTTCTCCCAAACGGGTCCTGTTTTGGAGCCCTTGCTTTGTGTAGCACACTGGCTCTGGGCTTTAATAGCTTCTGGGAACGAGGTTCCGTCAACCAACGCCATGCAGCTGGCTATTGAATCAGGAGATCATGTTGGAAATGGCCAACTTCCGCTTACAGATATGTCGCTTCTGGCTGCAATCTTGTGAAGAGGCAGGCCTCTAGCCGGTCTCTGCTGTCAAATGGCAGAGCCGGGGGCGGTGGCGCTAAAATTGTGCTCGGATGCCACAGCGCAACTCAACACTTAGCCCTGGCATGACCAAGATGGTCTGGTGACATTCCCCACCAGAAACTGACTAGACTGAAGTGTGAGCTTTCCCTGGTGAAATCAGTGGGACAAACAGTGGGAATCAGGGATTAAAATTGAAGAATAAGGACCCTGTGATTAATTATCATTAAACCCAGGGAATTTACGTAGGTGTTAACTCACCAAATCCCCATTGATTCAGGAGGGGATACTCTGGTTGTGACCTAATAGTGGATTTAAGCCAGAGTTTGCTGCTACACACACACACAGAGAGAGAGAGAGAGAGAGAGAGAGACGCTATGATGAGAAAATGATGTAGAGGAGTGGACATACCTGCACCCCACGCCTTGCCCACAGTCTGAGATGCCTAGGCCACAAAAAGATTCATGCCTGGGAGGGTGCCGAGCACCTCTGGCAGGAAGGACAGGTGGGCCTCTGGAAGCTGGAATTCCCCCCCCCCGCAGACAGACAGACAGACAGACAGACAGACACACACACACACACACACACACACAGAGAGATCTCATGCCCATCCATCTCCAGGAGCCTCAAGAGACGGAAGGTGGAGACAAAGCACAGCGGAGGATGCAGGCTGCGCTTCCTTCGACAGCCAGACATCCCTTGATTAGATTTAGAACAATTGTCGGCCAGCTGAGGCTCGTGTGCTTGGCCTTGTTCACTGGTGTGTGTTGTGTATGTGTGTTGTTTTCGGGGGGGGGGAGTGGAGGAGGGGGTCCATGCAGAGCCGCCTTCTGTTGACTTTCGGCTCCTCTGCTTCTTGCAGGAAGTTTACCCGAATCCCTTCACGTCCGGAGACGGTGGTGAGGGTAAGTCCCTGGAGAGTCTTCTCTGTCAGGAGGGAGGCAGGGCGGTAGGGAGCGCGTGTCTGCCTACGTGTGTGCGGCCGTTTGCCCCCAAGCTTCTTGAGTCAGCCGCAGCCGCAGCAGCGCCAAGGCTCTGCCCACTTTTTGGGCAAGGTGGCCCTCTTGGAGCCGGCGCCCCTCAGAGCAGCCCGCTCGCTTCTGGGTGCCAAGAGGCTTGAAAGGCCTGCTGGAAACGGGATGGGGTCCTTTCATGCCTCTTGGCACCCAGACGCGAACGGTGTTTGTCAGTCGGCCAAACACCAATTGATTTTTATTATTAACTAATCCGAGAACACAATCACATCTGAGGAGGTGTTTACTCTGATGCAGTAGAAAATAAGCTCCCCCTATTCTCTGAATTAACAAATAATAGCATGATATATAGAAAGTTTTGAGCACAGTGAAACTATCCGAGAGTCTATCTCTTTCTCTCTCTGTGTGTGTCCATTTGATCTGCTACAATAGCTGTTTAGGGTTTCATAGGTTTAGAACCAGCACTTTGAATTGAGATCCCTGCGACCGGCCCCAGTCTGCCACCTGGCTGCTGCGTTTTGGGCGTGCTGTGAAGTTTCCCAACACTTTCCACAGGCAGCCCCGCGTAGAGCGTGCTAACAGTAATCCAGCCAGGATGTAACTAAGGTGTGTGTCACCCGTGGCCAGATCAGACTTCCCTTTTTAAATTGCTCTGTGTGGAGCTGAGTGTTTTTAAATGGTCATTTCTGTTGTGCTAAAGAGAAAGTGTAGTGTTTCGGGGGTTTTTTAAACGTTGGGCTTTCTGTAAAATGAGTTAATATTTCAAAGGAGAAAGTTTGTACAAACAAGTGGGGTTCAGTGCAAGGCAGACGTGGCCGTCTCTGTCGCTTAAGGGCTACTGTGGGGCTGGTGGCAGAGCTCTGCTGACTGCGGTCTTTGGTTCCTTTGCTGTTTATCCAGCGCATCGTGACTTTGGTTATTTCTACGGTTCGAGTTACGTGTCCGCTCCGGATGGGAGTCGAACCCCCGGGCTCTCCCGCACCCAGGACGGGCTCTTGGTGGCCGAGATGGATCTTAACCTTTGCAGACAAGTGAGCGACACATGGAATTTTAAGGTATGTAAACAAACCTGATCAACGACCTCTGACATTCCTGAATTCTGCTGACATTCATGCTGATGATTTGTTTTAGAGGCCTTCCTGCTTTGCTTTTGCTTGAATATAAACCCCTGCACACACCTGGGAACATTTGAATAGTTCCAGGACAAATTCCCAAGGAACTTTCCAGTTGTTGCTTTGAACCTCAGAAAAAAAAATCTTACCCTTAAATTCTCTGTGATATTTGAATTCAGAAAATGATCTAAGCTTTTTAATGATTGATTGATTGATTGACTGATTGATTGGTTGATTGTAAAACTATGTGGCCTGGTCTTCCTTTAGTCGTCAGTCAACTGACAGTCACCCATCAACCTTTGGATGCTCAGCTGCATCTTTATAACGCAGGGTGTGCTTTTAGCTACTGCTTAAAGCAGAGATGGACAAAACTTGTGGTTTCTAAGAGGGCAAAACGGCCACGCAGGGGGCGTCTCTGGAAATACGTTGCGGTGAGAAGGTGTGTGTGTGTGAGAGAGAGAGAGAGAGAAAAAAGAGTTGACAGCCTTTTCCTTCCTTCCTTCCTTCCTTTCCAGATGACGGGGAGATACGAGATGTACGCCCAGGAGCTGGCTGCCGCTGTCCAGCCAAACTTTGTCCCCAACGTCATCAAAGAGTAATTCTTTGCCGAGCAAGGGTGGGGTGAAGAGGAGGACGTCCTTTGGGGGCTTTCTGAACCCTTTCCCCTACACCCTGGTCCACTCGAGGACATGGCTTCTCAAACCTCATGGAGGGTCTCGAGTACTTTAGCTGCGATCGAAAGAGCCACTTTAATCACAAGACAATGAGATTTGGGGCTGGATTTGAACCCCGGATTCTCCCCACTCCACCCTACATCACAGGGTGCTCTTGAAGTCCAAAAGCAGGAGGGATGTTCCTCAAGAAATGTACGTCCAGAACCCTAGCGGTAAGGAATTAAATTTTGGTTATAATCCCTTTAGAAGAATGATGGTTGCGTGGCTTGGATTCCTCAGTCTTGAAGCCCAAGGCCGGCATGTACAGGGGGTCAGCCTTTCCACACACGCATAGACATGGTCAACGAGATACAAAGAGATGGAAGGGGGAAATTCACCAGGGGCCCCCTCCCCACGTACTCAGCCACCACCCTGTAACAGCTGGAGCATCAGGGCCAACCGGCCACTCAGATGCCCCAGGACTAAGACAAGTTACTTTTTCTGGACTATCGCTCCCTGAGGTACCCCTGCCAGCCTGGAGAGTTCGGGAGTTGCAGTTGAAAAGGAGCAACCTTTCCAGCCTCTGGTGCCGTCACTTGTCCTGCTGGGACAAAATTGTCCCTCCCTTGGCTTCCTGTCTTAGAGGAGTCCAGGTGGGGCCCAGAGGTCCACCTGAGCAGGGACTAGCTGGGCCGGCCCTGCTGTTGTCGGCAGAGGCCAGGCCTGTTGGCCCTGCAGCACAAATAGCAAGGAAGAGAAATGTTACGTTAAAAAAGAGCTTCTTCCCATAGCTTTCTCAAACGGGTCAACCAACTCCCTTTTCCCCAAAGAGGAAGTAGCAGGCACTGGGCGCTTGCAATGAACATCTGTAAACTTTTTTTTATTGAGTGACTTACAAAATATATTTTGCATATAACATTTCTCTGCCAGTAAAATATCCCTTTCCCTATAATGTACACGGATCCTGTGTGCTCTAGCCAATGTTTGCCTGCACAGAGTAAACTGATGAGCCAGAAGGGAAGGGAGGAAGGAAGGGGGGGTGCCAGCTGTCCTTGGCCTTCTTTGCAGCTCTCCAGGCTGTGCGCGCGCGCTCAAGGGGATCATCCTCACAAGGCCTGGGCCCTCCCTGGATGTCAGGAGTGCCCACCGCATGTTTGTCTCACATTCAGGACTGAGAGTGGCTGTGGGAGCGCATGCTCATGAGCTGGAAGCCAGCCAGAGTCATTCCTCCCCCCCCCCCAAAAAAAAACCCACATGAGCTTGGCGGAGGCGCTGTGGTGTATTGTGCACACAGCCTGCTCAGCTCGCTGCCCCTGAGCCAGGCAGACGGCCGGTGGCCTTTCACGGGCCAGAAAGAGGCTGCCCGCTGCTTGCAAAACCCTCCTCCTCCCCCCCACCGCATGGCCCCTCCCACAGTGCTGCGGAGGCACCTGCTTCCCTTACACACACGCGCACACCCCCCAGGGCAACCCAGCCCCTGCTTGGCTCCAACCAACCCCAAAAAGCTTCTTCCTCAAAGGGACTTACCTGCAAGGCCCACCTCCTGCACCCGGGTCACTTCTAAAGGCCACTCCTGGCCTTCACTCACATGGGAGGACCTTGGTCCCCACAAACTTTGGAGTAAAGCTCTCAAAGGCCAGGGGTGTGCGTTGATGGGTTCCTAGCAGCCACCTGCTTACACCACCACCCATGATTTGCTCCGCTTTCCCGCAGTCCTGTTCTGCCCAGGATCAGGCCTGCTTGAGTTGTCCTCCTCTCACTATGGGGTGGTTCACACCCAGCGCACCTTGAAGTTAAACAGGTGTCATGTACAGAAATAACACTGATGAGAGGAGTGATCTACATCAGTTGGGCCACTGCAAAAATCATTTGTGTGTGGGGTGTGTGTGTGTGTGTGTGGGTGTCTGGACTTCTCCAGGGTCATCTTTTTGCACGGAGGACGGACCCTCCCAGGTGCCACATGGACATCCGGATGTCAACACAAAAGGCAGTCATGACAATATTTGCTAAAGCCTTCGGCTACGCGGACCTTCCTCCTGGAGGAGGCGATGGGGAAGCCAGCTGCCACCACGGAGCACTCGCTGGGCAGCTTTGCCCCTTTTCTACCTCTGCTGAGAAAGGGATGCAGCAGCAACGGCCCCTTTCTTTCTTTCTCTCTCTCTCGTCCCTCTTGCATCAGAAATGAGCGATCCTCAGCCCAGCCACAGGACAGCACGGAATTTGACACATGGGGCACCAGGGAGATGCCCTTTTATTGGAAACCATCCAGGAAGCGGTGCTGAGACAGAGTCTTGGCTCTGGCAAGATCCCACCTGAAATGCTGGCCAGAGGTGTTTCCTTTCCTCCTCTGTCACAGACTCAAAAGCTCTGTGCCACGTTCTCTGTGCCAAGTCCTGCCAGCGGCCTCCTGCACCCAGGAAGGCCCCCCCCCAGCGGCCTTGTGAGCAGCGCCCCTGCCTCCAGAGGCAGATCCTGGGTTCAGACTCTTCCTTCCCTGCCCACAGGTTCTGCGGGGTGACTGCTGGCCTAGGTGAGCCTGCGGAAGAGGCTTAGGGCTGCTTTCTATGGCTCTGAGGGTGGGCTGGATTCAGAGGGGAGAGGCTCAGCTCCAGAACAGGAAGATAAGCCTGCGGCTACAGGGGGTGGCAGGTTGTTCGAAACTGGGAGACAAAGGGTAAGGTCTATAAGGTGCAGTCTGCTGGGAGGGGAGCTGTTTGCAAGGGGCTGAGGTAAGGGTCTCAAGCCGGTAGGTTGACCTCCACTCAATGCAGAAGGACTGGCTGCGGAGAGGATGGCGCCAAACTCAGCACTGCTTCATTTTGTGAAACTGGGCCTTGAAGGGATTCTGCTCAGCCGTATCCTTGTGTTTCCTTCTTGAGAGGAAAGTGAGGGGAACCCCTCGCCTGCTGGACTCTCATCCGCCACCCTGATGTAGAAGCCACAGCAGCCAAGAGAAGCCCAACGCTGACTCCACAGCTCAGCCACCGGGCCCCCCCGACCTCCTCGTGCGGGGAGGGGGACCTGGTCCTAAAGCACTCCTGGACTGATGCCAAGGTGATGCCCTTCCTGCCCCCCCTCCCTCCCTCCCTCTCCAGGTGCCCGAGAAGGACCTTTTGGCAGAGACCTGGGCTTCTGATGTTTATTCCTGCAAAGAGGGGCCAACAGAGGCAGGGCTGGGATCTGCATGTTGAAACCTCTCCCATGTGCAAAATTTTAAAACACACCTCTTTATATATAGATCACAGTCTGTACAGAACAGGCTAATTCATGGCAAGAAGACAGCACGGCTGGGGACAAAGTGGCGTTGGGGGGAAGCAGACCCCGGGAGATTTTGCTTTCTCCCTTGCAACCTGCAAGCACCCCCACCACACCTAGTCCAAGCCCAGATGCAAAACTGTGGCTCAGGAGGGGTGGGGAGGAGCCAAAGGGGTCCTACACAGAGAGCCAGGCGTGCTGGGGCACAAGCTCAGGCTGTGAGTGGTTCTCAGGACCAGGATGTGGAGCTCCTGCACCCTTTCAGACAAAACCCCGTTCCTGGTTTTTCCTCCTGGTTTTTCTTTGTCTCAGAAGCCTAATTTTGGGTAAGAAGGAATGCCCAGCCGTTGCTCAGCTGGGGCCCAGAAACCCTGAACAGTCTGCCGCAAATCACCTGCAAATCTAGAAAGAGCTCCTACTTCGTACGGAACGATCTTTTGATTCGTTATCATGGTTCCTATCTTGCCACTTAAGACGCCGCTCTTCCTGGGTAGCACAGAATGAAGCCGGAAAGCAAACACGCTCTCCTCCCTTCGGCCTCCCCCGGGCGGGTCAAAAGCATCCCCGGTTTGCAATCTTGCTGGCGTCCAGGAGAGCGCGTGTGCTGTAGCGAAAGTCCTGAGAGAAGCCCACGGCTCTGGTGGCCGTGGGCTCAGTGGCCGACGTCAAACCGGAAGCAGCCCAGCCGGGAGGGAGCCGGGTCAGCTGTCCTTGTAAACGAAGAGGATGTCTTCGTCGGTGCCGTAACTAGTTCTGGCTTCCTCAAAATTGTTGATGCTGGTGCTGCAGGTTCCTGGCGGGAGGGGGGGATAGTGGGGGGGGGGGGAAAGGACCAAAGAAGGGGAAGTCAGAGGCGAAGAAAGCCCAGACCGCCCCCCCCAGCCCAGCCACTCCCCCAGCAAAGAAGGAAGCAAACGGAACCTGGACCCCTGGAGGAGCCGAAGCCTTTGGCCTTTCAAATAGGTTGCAACTTGGCCCCTTCCCCCACACTGACGCCCCCAACTACTCCTTTTCCAAAACTAGAAGGAAACATCGGGTTCCCCTCTGGCTTCTTCTTATTTTTATTTTATTTTGCTTTGCTCTGGTTTTTTGGCGGCGGTGATGATCCACACCACCACCCAGCGGATCCCAGAGGCAGACGAGAGCCGCCGCTGCCACCCACCCACCCCTCCTGGTCTGCCCAAGTCGCCCTGTTAGGAAAATAAAAGGTGCAGCGGCTACTCACGGTCAGCATAGGCAGGATTGTTGTAATAAATACTCCCTGAGGCTTTGTTGTAGCCACACAGCACGACGAAGTGGCCCTGGTAGTCGGGGCTCCGGCAGAAGCACTTCTGGCCCATGGGGAGGAAGCAGCAGTACCTGACGGGGCTGGAGCAGAGGTCACAGAGCAGCAGGACGGCGTTCACCAGCACAATGGCCGGGTGGCCCCGGGAGAGGTGCTCCTGGATGTCCTGGATGGTCACGGTGCTGCAGGTGGAGGGGGGAGAGAAGAGTAGGTTGGGGAGGGGGAAAGGGAAAGGCAGCCCCCCCGCCACCCGAAGGAGCCAGGGTGGTGGAACCATCTTCACGAAAGGCGCTCCCGTGGGTTCCTAAGAGGGCCCCCGTTAGGCACACCTTGCGGGCGGAGGCTCTCGGCGAGATGCCGCCTGTGCAGCAACACGTGGCCGATCCCCTTGCATCCTCAGAGAGGGAGGGGGCAGGGCTCCCTCCTCATCCCCCTCCCCAGACAGGGCTGATCTACCCAGTCAGTCACCGGTGGGGGGGGGACCCACCTTCTCCCTGACAGGAAGCATCTGTTGTCATGCGTGGGATAAAATCTCAGGACATGCCCGGGGCTGGGAGTGCTGGGGCCACACTGAAGTTGGAAAAGAAACATCATCCAGAGACAAATGGAGGGCGGCTCACCTTTTCTCCACCAGCACCTTGCAGGCTTTGGCTTGTGCGAACAACTGGTTGACTCGGTTCTCCTCGGTATCAAAATGTTTCCTGTAGAAGGACTGCAGAGAGAAGACAAAAGTGCTCATGCGGAGCGTGACCTGGCTCCCACCGGGAGGGGGAGCTAGGCGGAGGAGCCCCCCCCCACCACCACTACTACCAGAGGTGGCCCTTGCCTCAGGACCACAAAGCTCTCGCCCACAAAGCGGACACCACAAGCTCTGACCCACCCCGTAGGGGTGAGAAGGGACACCGCCTCTGACGTCCGGTAGGGAGGCAGACCCGCTCTTACGCCAACACCTCAAGATCAAAACACGGTGAGCCAGTGAGTTAAGCCCATTTTGCACAGCAGCCTTTCTCCCATTTGAAAGATCTCCCAAAAAGTCATCAGAAGCCACGAGTGGCTGAGAGGCAGATATTTCCTGTTCCCAAACCCAGCTGGAGAATATCTTCGATGGCTCAGAAATAAAACCATTTTAGATCTGCAGGAGAACCGACAGGTTCAAACTCCCTTTGGTCTCGCAGGACACCACACTTCCCACAAGGAGCAAATTTCAAACACATCTAGGAAACCAAAACCAGCGCCAGGCAGAAGTTCCTGAACTTCAGAGAGAGAAGCTGATTAAGAGCACAGCCCGTGTTTCACCCGTCTTTCCCTTTTGAACGTGGCTTCTCTGAGCCAGGGCTAAATGGTGGCTGATGGCAGGAAAGCCTTGGGTTTCAGCCTAGACTAAGCTGGCCCAAAATGTCCACTAATGCTAAAAAAAAAACCAAACACATAATTTCGATCCTTCTTGGAGCATCAGAGACTGAGAAAGCTTCCTGGCCCTTCCGTCCCAGAGGAAAATCCCAAATTCTGCTCCTGCTGGGGAGCTGACCTGGTTCTTGTAGCCTTTATCCACCCCCAGGGTCTGTGTGCAGAACCGATGCTTCACCCCAAAGTGGCGCATCAGGTAGGCCAAGTCAATGGTCCAGATGCTCTTGGTCAGGTGGAGATCCCGGAGGGCCTTCTGGAACTCCTCATCGTCCAGACAGTTGAGGTACCTGGGATCAAATCAGAGGAAGTGATGCTGGAAGGCGGAGACCCGGGAGCAGGAAAGCCCCTTGCCCTGCAAGAGATCCAGGGGGGCAGAAGGAGCCCCGAGGCTGCAGGGCCACTGGAACAGCCCCTTTGCTGACAAAAGCGTCCCGAGAGGGGAGGGAGAGCATTCCAGGGCGGCTTATTTTAAGGATAAGGAGCCGGTTGGAGTCTAGTTGGGAGGCTGGCTTGTTTCCGTCTTTGGTTCTTCCCCTAAGAGGCATCTGGGAGGCTTGCATGAGCTTCCACAAAGCCACATTCTTTTAAAAGGACTCCTCTCCAAACCATGAATATATGGGTTGAAAACTGAACAGAGGAAATGTACGCAATCAGAACATGCGCCACGTCTGGCTCCAAGGCTGACTTGGGGAATCAGCAGGAGGCCTCTGGAGGCAGAAAGGAAGAAAAATGGACGAACACTTTAAGAAAAGTTGCTGGAATGTGGATTTTGGCCTGGTCGAGACATGAAGAAGAGGGGCAGTGTAGGGACAAAAAATTCTGACCACCTTGGTTTGTGTGCACACAAATTCCCCTCTTTTTCTCTTGGATTACTTTAACCACAGGGTGATATTAGAGCTGTTTGGGGCCCAACTATAGTTCGGGAGAACCAGGATTGCCTTGCAAACAAACCTGGCTCGAAGCCATTGTTTCAGGAAATCCAACAGTGGCCTAAGCAAAACCTTAGTAGTGACATCACACTAAATTCCCAATAAAGCAACCCCTGCAAGGGGGGGGGGAGAAATGAGCCCTATGCCAAGGAGGAAGAGGAAGCCCGCCACAGGCACCCCGTCTCCAAAACACGGTCACGCCAGAACCACAGCTGAGCTGGAGGACACGGAAGTGACAAAGAGGAGAGGACAGGGGTGGAGCTCAGAGCAGGAGTGTGGGATGGTCTCACAATGGAAAAGGACCACAATGGAGGGAAAGCCACTAGCATTCGAAACGGAAGAGGGGAGGAAGGCTTGGCAGCCCAGGGTGTAGGACACGCGGCCTTGGGAATTCGGTTTGGAAGAGAGAGAGAGAGAGGGAGGGAGGGAGGGAGGGGGGAGAGGTTACAGAAGTCAAGAGGGGAAATTACCAGCGCATGAACTAACGTCTTGGCAGGAGGGATGGAGAGAAAGGGGAATCTTCTTCTCCATAGCTACTAAGTGGCCCTCTAAAGAGGTACGCCTTCTCCTGCCACTAACGCTCGCGTTCCTCTGTGGAAGGAAAGACGAGTCCAGCAGGAGAAAAAACGAGAGCCCGCGGCGACCCAGAAGGAGGCGCACGGAAGGTACCGTAACGGTTCTTATGTCGTGGGGCACAAGAGGCACTGACTCTGCGGAAGGGAAGTCAAAGAAGAACATGGGAAGATGCGAAGAAAACACATGAAGCAAACCTTCCACGGACTGGCCGCCTTCCCCTAACAGGGCACTTGCAGGGGGGTGGGGGAGAGAACCCTCCGGTCGGTCGGCAGAACTCCCCTCCTGCAGAGAGGACCCCACCACACCTCCGGCAACCGTCAGCCATTATGCCAAGACGGAGAGGGTCCTTTCCTGCGTTTCCTCCACATACTCCTTGAGGAACTGAGGTTGGTCATTAGAGGGCTAAGGCCACCGTAGGGCAGGTTGTGACCAATGCACCAGGCTCTGTCTTTATGTAAACACTACCACCGGCTCCCTCCCTTTCCCCCCCTCCCCCCCCAATCAGAGGGCTGAGGCCACCGTAGGGCAGGTTGTGACCACTGCACCAGGCTCTCTCTTTATGTAAGCACTACCACCGGCTCCCCCCCTTTCCCCCCCTCCCCCCCAATAAAACGCACTTACTGCAGGACCATTCTGGAGCAGGCCAGCCCACAATCCCAGTGGTATAACTGCTGGAGAACTGGGACGTTCAGCTGCACATGGTCCACTGTGCCAAAGAGAAAGGAAGGCAGCCATTAGGAAGACAAGAAGGCACCCTCTGCAGGGACCCCCCCACACACAAGCCCCCACCCCCGTCCCCACTCTTTGCCTGTACGACCACATCCGCCCCTCGACGAAAACAACCCTCCTCTTTGGTTCCGTACTCGAGCAATCTGTGGACAATTATCTAAAACGGCATGCCAAAATCTGGCTTAAACTAGCAGAAGGTCATTTAGGCTTACTTTTTGATTTGTACAGTATATTTATTTTCTACTCCTCTTTTCCACACTCTAGGAGCCCCCGATTTAAGTGGCAGTCCATCCCTTTTCTATGGGGCAATGATCACCCCAAACATATCTTGTTGACTTAAAGGTCCAAGGTTGATTCAGATGCTGCTGCCCTCGCCCAGCCCTCGCCTTTCACATAAATAATGACAGGATGGGCACATGGGGTAGAGGAACATCCTCCAAAAAGTGTGGGTGAGACAGCCTGGTGTTTCTGATGGTGGCCTGGAGGAGGAGGAGGAGGAGGAGGAGGAGCAGTAGTGGTCCGAAGGGCCCTCCCAGAGTCTCCCCTGATGGCACCCCCACAGCACCCCCCCATTAGGGGGTAACTCAGTTCTCTCCTCCCCCCCACACCTCCCCATAGGAAAAGATAAATGTAATTCTCCAAAGACTTGACTCCTAGCGGGCATAATTTTTTAAAAAAAGAGATTATTTGTTTATTTAAAATTAAAGAAAATAACAATAACAAAGCTAACACAAACACATGATCTTACTTACGCACAATCCAAGTTAACCTTCACCCTCGGGACCAGGTCACCAAAGGTCAACCCCCGACCCCGATTCCCCCCCCACCGGGAGTGCCTGGTTTCCTGGCGAGGTCACGACCCTCTCCCCCTCTCCCCCGGCACTCTGCACAGGCCCCGGGGCCCCCTCGCCACCGACCTGAGGGCGGCTCCGGCTCCTCCTTGGGGCTCTTCTTCATGGCGAGGCGGCAGCGCTCCGGGC